TCTTATTGAAATCCTTTAAGCAGCTTCAAGATTTTAGGGCTACACGCTATTTTTTACTTTGCGTAGATACGTTTTCGTAAAGTAGTAACTTGAAGAATAACCGCCACCCCTTTGGTGGTATTGGCCTCTTACCACCCAAACGTCAAAAAAAATCTAGTATCGCCCGATTCATCTAGATTATTAGATTTTTACTCGATTGCAACTGCTATGTAGCGGCAGTGGAAATCTAGTAACTGGGCGATTATTAGATTTTTTCTAGTTGCAACTATCGATTTATCGCCCGATTACAGACGAAATGTATCTAGATTTTTCCCATAGGTGATATTTGCTTGGGCATACGCGGTTTACAGTATATCCCCCTGATGCCCATAATTTGGGATCAGGATGTCATAAAAGTACCCTTCGAACCTCTATTTTATTGGGAAATTTTAGAAAATTACTAGATACTTTAGATCTGTCTATCCTTGAGTTTGCCTGAGAATAGACCCGTCAATAAAGTTGGAAAATAGTTTAGATAATATGGAATAAAAATTAAAAAACAAACTTTTTTTAAAACAGAAAGTTTATAATAAAAAATCGAACCATCTATAGATAACCATATTGAATTTTAGTTTGTAGGACGAGGGGGGAAGTATTGGTGAATTCCGTGTGTTCTCCACGGACTGTTCTAATTTTTAAATGCGAGGAATTGGAACACAGTCGCGTTTTGAATAGAGCTAGCTCCGTCAAATATCGTCCGTTTGCGGTGTAATACATATCATACTAAGGATGTGTGCAAAAATAATTTAAAATACAGATATAATATTCAAATTACTTTTATTAATAAGTTCCATGTATTTTCCACAGACTGTTCTAATTACCTCGCTCTACTCTATACGCAAAATAAAAAATGTCGCAAACATTTTGGAACACTCGGTATATCTTAAAAACTTTCGTCATACCCATTTCGTTTTCATTTCAACAGCTATTTCGAGATATCGTAGCGAACTGAACTAAAAATAATCAGTGTTATCAAGAATATGCAAATGTTCCCGTGACCTGCCAGATTTGTGCAGTGTGGACTCAAACCTGCTATCGAAAAGCTTTTAGCTTCTCTCCTTCTTTTCTCCCAAATTTTTTGAGTAAAAAGGAAGGAAGCAGTTTCGTTAGAACGATATTTCTTTCACACATGTAGCATTCTCTCAAAAAGCATTTCTCATAAAAGATTTACTTTAAAGCTTTCTTTGATGAATTATGTTCGCCCCCAATTTGTCGAATTCTCCTTCGAGGATGGTGCTATTTGTCAGATAAAACTGAGCATTACACTGTAAATCTTGAAAATTATTTATAAAAAGTCAATGTCAATTTTCCAGAATCAAGAAAATCGGTGTCGATTTTCTATAAATAATTCCCAAGAATCTGGAAAATCAAGGAGGATTTTCTAGATTCTTGGGAATTCGATTTTCTGGAAAATAGAAAATCCTCGGCGAAATTATATCTGGACTTTCTGAAAATCGACGGCGATTTTCTATAAATAATTTCCAAGATTATAGTGTACGAGAGCATGCGGACACTTAATCTAAAAAGGAGCAATCTAAAACTAAAAATAAAATTAATCTGGAAAAAAAAGCGTCACTTTTCGTCGAACTTTGCACTTTTAATGTACTTCTGCAGACGCAAAACAATACGCTGAATATGTTGTGTATTGTCCCCATGGCGAAATCTTGAAAATTATTTATAGAAAATCAATCGATTTTCTATAAACTTGAAAATCAACCTCGTTTTTCAGGATTCTAGAAAATCAAATTTATAGAAAATTGACTCGATTTTCAAGAACTTTGAAAATAAACATTTTCTGTAAAATTGAAAATAATTCAAGACACATCGGTGAAATCTGTCAACTTCCGGTAACGGATAATTACTCTCTCAGGTTACTTCTAGACTTTAACATAGGCTTAGAAATATCCTACTTTTTCCTATCAAAATAATGTTTTCTAAGTTTGCGTGAGAAAACCAGAATAAAACTACTGAAATTGTCATCAAAAGTCAAGAGTTTTGAGCGTTACGCTTTCGTTAGACATGCTAATCAGCTTTCCCCGGAATTACATTCAGGATTTTTAAAAGTCTATGGCACTTATACTCGATAACAGATCTTGTAATGCGTCTATTAGCTAACTGCGAAAAGTGAATGTCTGAAGAACTCGTAAACTAGTCCTGCACGTTTTTCCGTTTTCGAATGACAGTTGCTATACTGAAATCCGTTTTCGACAATTCTCAGCTTTGAGCTCTCTGTTCTCTGTTAGACAAAACGAGCTGAATATTTTTATTTCAATTACGGAAATGAGACTATAGCTGATATTCCGAGGAAAGACTATACGAGCCTTTTTGTAAAAAAATTTATATGCGGTATTTTTGAAGCTCCTTTTCAGAAAAAGAGTACTAGTAAATTTTAATTGTGAGGGTTTCATGCTTAAACTTTCGTCTTAGTCAATCCGACTATATTTAATAGATAATATTCTTGGCATAAAGCTGTCTGATAGCCAGAACCTTGGCTTCAAGGCACACAAGAGATTTTATCTCATTTAAGAAACAGGTAAAACTTCCAAGGCTTGAGCTTTTCTAGAACGAAAGAGCGCTTGGAAAACAAAATTTATTTATCTCAAATAAGGCGAGTTTAAAATCTCTAAGCATTTTATCTGTCTTAGAGCTGACAAAGTCTTCTTTTGTATACAAAATATCAGTTTTTAATTTGAGAACACCTCAAAGCAAATTTTTTAGGTAATTTTAGGTTCTCTCTCAGAAGAACCTTTTTTTGGGTTAGCTGAAACACTGATTTACCATGTTTTACCCGGGTTTCTCTTCGGGAACATGTTAAAATCAAAGTCCATTATTCAAAGCTAGAAGCTGAGCTCAAAATTCACACAGCAAATTTTTTGAAAAGTAAAATGGTCGGAGAAAATGTCCTTTCCTACAGAATGTGGAGCAAATGTCAATGTTTTGTTTGGACGCTAAAGGCCTATTATTTATTTGATACGACTAAAGTACGTAGATTTACATTTCCTCGTTGCCACATTAACTGAAACTGCAGCATCTTAGTCATAGAACTTATTTGCTATTTTTATAACAAATACATTGACGAAAGATGTTGTCCAAATAGTAGTTTAAAACTACAAAAAAGGCGTGAGGAAATTATCTTTAATTCACACGACGTTAAAAAAGCACGATGTTTTATATAAAAGTCATCATAGCCGTAACGTTTGACGAGTATTCTAATAAATCGTGTTTTTCTTTCTGTTTGCAATATATGTAAAGACGCTTCTTTATGGCGTTAAAGAAAAGAGAACAAAGAGGAGAAAAGTAAACAGAATCTGCAATTCTTCATGCTCTTGCATGTTTATATAGCAGTCGGAACGCGTCTATTAAAGGATATACGAATTTTATATACTTGAATCTGAAATATATTCGTGAAATGTATCTGTCAAAATCTTTCTATCAAACAATAACTCAGATGCAGATAATGATTTTGTCAGCATAATATTAAAGATTTATATTCATTGATTTTATTTTAGGGTAAAAGGAGATAAGGGAAATATTTCTCACGTCTTTTGACTATTTGTTTTACAGTAGTTCTTTTTTCTGTCATCAATTGAAGATGATTAAAAAATGTGAGTAAGTCCAAAGGAGATTGAAAAAAATAGTATATTCTCCCCAATCTCTGAGTGATATTTGATTATTACTGCAGTTAAATCAGTTTAGTTTTGGTCGTGTAAGTAATTCATGTGTACCTTAAACATGAAATGACAGTATAAATCTTTTTACACCAAAAAAAATCATTATCTGCTCTTGAGTTGTTACTTTTGATAGGACGATTTCGGAAGAAATGACGAATATATTTCAGATTCGAGTAAATTCATATATCCTTTATAGCAGAGAAAGACATGATTGTGCTTTGATGTGATAAAAAGAAAGTGCATGTATATCATATTTTTTGAGACATACTTTTTTTCAAATGACCTGTAAAAGCCATACTGCATCCATCTATCTACTGAAAGTGTATACAAGCAGAGCTGAAAACAGTCGATTGCCGAAAACCCTCTCTGTATATCGTGTATATACTCTCTATCTATTATTCTCTCTGGAATGCTCATAACCACAAAAGAAAGTAGATATTTTCTAACTTTCTTGATGCCCGAAATGACGATGAGATGAGGTACATATCTTTAAATGGATAAAATAATAAATGAGCTCGGAAAAAAGAGATATTTGAGCTCGGTGTACTTAATTGGCTTTAAAATGAGAGAAATGAGCTCGATTGTAATAAAATTATATTTTTTTATATAAATGAGAGTTTTGAGCTCGGAAATTTATTAATCTAATAAAAAAGAGATATTTGAGCTCGGAAATTAATTTATACTCTGAAAAGAGACAAATGAGCTCGGTATATTTTATTTTCGTCGGTAAAAAGAGAGAAATGAGCTCGGTAATTAATTTATGAAAATTAATTAATGATTTTGTAAGTAGTAAAGTATATTTAATAAGAGAAAAATAGTTCAACAACAAAGTCTTTTGTTAAAGCTAATTTAACTTTCTTTGGACGACCTTTCCCCCTTCTTATCCCAAGTGCCTGTGGAACTTTACGATGATCCCATTTTCTACAACATACTGTTCCATTTTCCATTATCAAGTCTATGCTTTAATTTGTATAAATTGATGAGCTTTTTTTAATCACATACAAATTGATGATCTGTTTTTCATCATATACAAATCGATGAGCTTTTGATACTCAAATAGCTATAAAAGTCTGTATGCGTGTCCGATCAGTACATTCTCAACTAAATCTGTTCTTTCATAATGTCTCGCCGAACTTGGCACGAATGTTTCTCTTCTACTTCTGAAACTGATATCGAATCTTTTACAAAAGAAAATAAAGTTTCTACTTATCGTACCGAGCATTTTCAAGCTGGTAAAACTACTACATATCGTTGTACGGAATACAGAAAATATCCTCTTTGCCTTTAATAATGAAATGGACTGCTGACAAAGACCTTGATGCATTTAGAAAATATTTTGAAGACCAGTGGTTATTATCATTACCATTTTGGTATGAAGGTAGTGCAAATCTTAGTCCATCTACTAATAACGGTCTTGAATCGTTGAATGGTAAAATCAAACAAATGTACACATTACGTAACAAATTGTCATTGTCATCGTTCTTACAAACAGCTGAACGTATGTTATATGACTGGTCATTAGCTAGCGCGAATACACCATTTGCTATTCAAATTGAATTTACTAATAATTTGGCAACTAGGGCATATCAATGGTTACAAAAACTTGATCGAACAAAAGTATTACACTTAGGTGCAGCTAGTTATGTCGTACCTTCTTCTGAGCCAAAAATGGGTACATCATTATGGTACAATATTATCATAGCATGTCTTGGAATTCCTACGGTGAATTTACCGACTGGTTAAACTCTGCGCGTTTAGTTGATTTTTCTAGTTTAACTCCGCCATAATTTTGCTCATGTAAATATGGCCTTAAAGAATACTCTTGCGTTCATTCATCGGGCTTAATAATGATGTGGGATTATCGTAAAGTTCCACAGGCACTTGGGATAAGAAGGGGGAAAGGTCGTCCAAAGAAAGTTAAATTAGCTTTAACAAAAGACTGAATATTGGTGAAAAACTATTGTAATCTAGCACTTTTTTGTTGTTGAACTATTTTTCTCTTATTAAATATACTTTACTACTTACAAAATCATTAATTAATTTTCATAAATTAATTACCGAGCTCATTTCTCTCTTTTTACCGACGAAAATAAAATATACCGAG